ATTTTGTCGAACTTAATTTTACAACAACTCATCCTTTTTTTGTCAAAATTTTCCTAAACATATAGACCTTGTAGTCGTATTATCAGTGAAGAGATGAGTCATTTGTTATTTATTGTTCTTGAGAACTTCACATATTATGACAAAATGTCGAACATTTTTCATGTGCTATTTCAACTAAGAGTAAGTTGATATTGAAAATATTCCAAACGATTGAAACTATCTCATTATGGAAAATTGGTCAATTTTAATGCTGAACATAGATTCTGAATTCAAAAGTATTTTTATCACATACAGTTGGAATAGTCCTCTCTCTCTCTCTTTTCCATGGAACCATATTTTTAATAGAATATTTTGAAGGAATAATGTGTCAAAATGGATGAAGTACTATTTTACGCAATTTATTACACTCTATTCATGTTTTAAGAATTATTTCTTCGAATTGAAATTTTGGATTTTTAGAAAAATTTTTAACATGCAATGTAACATTCTTATATGAAAAGAGATCCTTTTTCACAATTGTCGTTGATAAAACTCGAATTTCTTCATGACAATGAAAATTTTGTTTTTGTTGATAGTCTTCTTCAAACTAAAGAAATTTTTTGAAGACATTAGTTTTTATATCGAATGAGATTATTACATAATTGTAAGATATGAGAATGATTAGTTTATCCAAGATGAAGATTTTCACATGTCTATACAAAAAAGTTTATAGAAAAAAAAAAACTAAAAATTGAAGTTAATTGATTGTCGATTTCATCAATTTAGGCATCGATATGCTGACAATGATCAAGAAAATATTAGATGGTTTGGATTTATTCTTCATAAAATTCAATAAATGTAAAAGAAAACGAAGATTTGTTTTTGTTTTAGTTATTGTCGCTCAACAATTAATGTTCGTCGATTTTTAGCTTATTTTTCTAATAAATTGAATGCTCTGGCTGAATAATACTTTCAGTAGAATAACTAAAAACGTCGATACATGAATATTTGAAACAAACAGAAATTCTTACTGATTATGTACAAATATGTTTGACTCGATGTGCTGTAGTTCTGAATAGCTAACAGCAAGATATTGACATACATATCCCTCACGTTTAAACGTAACTGAACTGTTAAGTAAGACCGAAGAAAATTTTCATCCTGTGGAGAGATCTAAGTAAAGAAGTGATGCATCATATGAATTAATTAAACCTGACGTTTAGTTATGTATAGAAGATTATTTCAAAGCCCATCACACTATAAAAGTACCTCGAATATTGTATGCCACGATATACTTTCAAGAAAACATTAATTTGAAATTTCTTCAATTTTCATTTACATAAAAATAGTTCTGTCCTCAAAAAGGGTTAATGGAAGGAAGCGGAATGAGGTAAGCGAAGAAAATTGAACTCAAATTGACATTCATTGTTTGTCTTCGAAAATATATGTGAGTTCTACAAAATATTAAAAATGAATTATTTTAACCAACAACAAAGAAAAAAAATGATTTGGAACTATTGTTATTGAATAAAACATGTCACGTTTTAACATATTTTGTTAGATAGTATTCAACAGTAGAGCTCGTTTCATGCATTTACTCTCTTTATGACCTACTCAGAATCTATGAAAATTAAAACTTCTCATTATTGTTCAGAAAAATGCACTAGTTATTATGTTAAACGTTTTATAGAATCTTATCACTAAAACTAGTCTAATTTTTAGGCAACCCAGTAAATAATAGGGTTTGTGTGTATGGATCCTTTCCTCTATGAAACGCACGCCCAAACCTATGCTCCAACGCTCACCCACACCCACACCCTAGCATCAAATAATAATTCACTACTTTTTTAAGAATTAAACTTCATATATGTACTTGATCTTCAAATATATATATATATATGTATTGGTTACTTAGACTCATGGTAAGTACACCTACAAGGTTTACGAAGAAAAGTACTATATGAAGCGATTCTCGCTGACTTAACTAAAAGTTTACTTGTTTTTATTACTATATTACTTATGAATGAATCAATGATACATTTCAAATGATATTATCTGTCCTTAGAAAATTGATACATGCAGAAGTCGACAAATGCTTACTAAGATATTTCTATCAACACTTTATTCTGATTATAATGATATTTAATTGTTAAGAAATATATGTGAGAAATCAATCTTATTGATCAAGTTCGATTCCAAGTTCTTCAGAAAGTCGTTCAATATTCCATACCATCTTCCATCGTTTATTGTTCCAGATAGACAAACATTTACTGTAAATAGTTAATGCTTGTCGATAGTAATCAAGTGCCAATCTAGATTTATCAAGATTTTCGTAAATCTCACCTATAGTCGACAAACTATTGCCAATGTCTTCATGATATGGTGGTAGAGTTTTAAGGTGCATCAAGAAAAGATTCTGTTCATATATAAGCGAAAATTCATGCTGGTCTTTCGCTCTTTGTATCTTTGATAACCATGTAAGTGCGTTCGTGATGGAGAGATCTTTTGGAGAAGAACTAGCTTCTGCAACCAATAGCCATTTTTCCAAAAATTTAATAGCAATATCGAACTCAAACTTTCTGTCAAAGCTATGAACAATCCAGGATAGACAAGCAGCAATATCAATATCATTATTAGGATAATATTCTTCGAGAATGATCAATGCTTGTTGACAATAGTCCAAAGAATCATCATATTTTCTTTGGTTAAACAGAGTAATACCGATGTTCCTGGCACTGATAGCAATGCTATATTGATCACTAGGCGAGCTACTTTTGAGTAATGCCAATGCTTGCTGTTGAAAATCGAGAGCTTCATCATATTTACTTTGGTCTTTTAAAATTTGAATGATCTTGTTGAAACAAAAACTGGTGTTCGAATGATTAGTTGAATCTTGCTTGTAAAATGCTAGTGCTCGATAGTACAAATCAAGAGCTTCATCAAGTTTTCCTTGATCATTCAATACAGCACCAACATATGCCAAACATTGAGCAAGATGTGCATGACCGGATGGATACTGCTGTTCATAGATTGTGATTGCTCGTTGGCAGTAATTGAGAGCTTTATCATAATCTTCTTGTATATAAAAAGTGACACCAATGCATCGCAGTCTATCAGCGATCTCAACATGACTTTGAGGATAACATTTTTCAAGTATTGTTAGAGCACGTTGATAAAAATCCAGAGCTAAATTGTATTGTTTTTGATCCATATGAATGTCACCTATGTGGCTCAGACTGGCAGCAATCTTTTCATGACATGAAGAATACTTTTCTTCTCGAATTGCCATTGCTCTCTGTTGAAACTTGATGGCTTCCTCGTAATTTTTCTGACCTCTTAGAGCATTCGAGACTTTTATCAAGTTATCAACAATTCCAACATAATCAGTTGCATCAAATTTTTCTCGAATTGTTAGTGCTCGTTGATAATAAACAAGAGCTTCGTCGTCCTTACTTTGTTGATACAGAGCACCTCCAATATTTTCAAGAACGGTAGCGATACCACCATAATCACATGGATTATATTTCTCTCGGATAACTAATGATCGTTGATAGAACTCAATAGCTTCATCATATTTCTCTTGGCTATAGAGGACATTACCAATCGAGTTTGCACTTTTTGCAATGTCGATATGACAAAATTCGGGCTGTTTCTCTTGAATAGTTAAAGCATTTTGATAAACATGAAGAGCTTCATCGTAATTCTTTTGTTCATATAGAGTGTTGCCAATAAAGTTAAAAGTATGAGAGATTTCGACGTGATCACTAGGATAGAATTTCTCTTGCATTGAAAGTGCTTGCCGATAATAATCAATTGCTATATCATACTTGCTTTCATCATACAGAATATGACCGATACGATTTATGATATTAGCTACGATGACACTGCCTGATGAATGATATTTTTCTTGAATTTCTAATGCTTTTTGATAATATTCAATTGCTTCATCTAATTTTTTTTGTTGACGTAATGTTACACCAAAACTAATGAAAGTAGATGCAATGTCTACATGACCATCTGGATAATACTTCTCTTGCATTTCGAGTGCTTGTCGATAACAGTGCAAGGCTTCATCATATTTTTCCTGTGCAAAATAAACATGGCCAATATAACTGAGAGTGTTGGCAATATCATTCTGATACGATGAACGGTATTTTTCTAATATGTCGAGTGTTTGTCGATGATAATCAAAAGCTTCATCATACTTTTTTTGCTTGCATAATATAATCCCAATGTTGTTCATGTGAAAAACGACAGAAGAATAATCTGATGGATTACATTTTTCTATGATTGCGAGTGCTCTTTGTTGACTATGAATGGCTTCATCGTACTTGCCTTGATCATATAGAATGTTGCCGATGTTGTTAAGACTAAGGGCCATTAGAGCATGACCGGAAGGATAATAGCTCTCTTGCATTATTAGTGCTTGTTGACCGTAGGATAGAGCTTCATCATATTTTGATTGACAAACTAGTACAGCACAGATATAATTGAAAATCTTAACGATGCTATTCTGATGAGATGGATAATACTTCTCTTGCATTGTTAGTGCTTGTCGATGGACATCAAGTGCTTCATTATATTTTCCTTGTTTCTTTTGTAAATGACCTAGGTTGTTTAGAGCACGAATAATATCGTCGTGACCACAGAAACAAAATTTCTGTAGGATTTCTAGTGCTTGTTCACAAAGTGTCAGAGCTTTATGATATCGTCCTAGTTCATAGTGAACATGTCCTATTCCACTAAGAACTACAGCGATATCGACGTGACCTAATGGATAATATTTTTGCAGTATTGCCAATGCTTTTTCATAAAAATTCAGGGCTTCTATATTCTTGCCTTTGAGGTAGAAAATACAACCAAGGTCATAAAGGTTCCAGGCGATGTAGACGTGACCATCTGGATAATATTTTTCACAGATTAACATTGCTTGTTGAAAGAAATCGAGAGCCTTATCATGGAGGTTTTGATATGCAACAACTTCACCGATATCGAGTAAAGTAAGAGCAATATCGATATGGGGAGATTGATAATATTCTTCTAGCATTGCAAGTGCTTCTTGATACGAGTTAAGAGCTTTATCATATTTTTCTTGTCGATCAAAGATTTTGCCAAAACGACGGAGACAAGTAGCAATAAGTACATGATTGCTCGAATTACTCTCGCTCGTTTTCATCTTGTCAATTTCTTGTATGTTTGGACATACGCCATTCAATTGGTTATTTGGTGAAGAGGATCCATTCACCTTGGCAGATAAAAAATTTTCCTTTAATATTGTGAAAGCTCGTTCACATGTATCCTGAGATTCTTCGTACTTTCCTTCTAGATAGAGAACTTCACCGATATTTAAAAGTATAAAAGCTGAATCTTCGATTCGTTTTGGCTCGACATTCACTATCCTATCATAAGCACGATCATAATATTTTCGTGCTTCACTCCATTCTCCTTTCCATTGAAGAACTTCACCAAGACTACATTCAATCATCACAAGATCTTCATTGTAAATATGGGCATTTTTCAATAAAATTTCAAAGAAATGTTGGGATTGATTCCATTGACCCATATCACACATTAATCGTCCAAAGAGAATGGTAATGGTAAAATCTTTTAATTGGTGACGAGAATCTTCGATGTATTTTTCTTTAAGTATTTGACCTTCATTCGATACACTCATTTGAATCAACCAAATTTCTTCCTCCATTCTCACACTCTCCAATCGAAAAGTCACATTGAAATTGAAGAGAATTTCTTGTTGTTCTTCACATAGATCAGCAATAATGACCTTGTTCTTTAAATGTTTTAGGTTGCATTGAATTTCTATGAGAGCAGAAACAAAATCAGATTGTTTCGAATGCTTCATCGTTTGGCTCAATTCAATTGAACGATGAATACTTGTTGTAAAAAGACCATTCATTGAAATTAATTTGCCTTGGTTCTCTTTGAATTTTTCGAGTTGATCCTGTGTCAATGTCATTCTTCGATAGACATTTAATATTTCTTTATCAGACTGAGCTATTTTGCGATGTTCTCGGACGATACATTCTGTCAAATCTTTCATAAAATATCGAAATGTGTAAAGTTGATGAAAGTCTTTGATTCTCAAGGCTTTGTTGATAGTTTTGTAAAGAAATGGTTTTTCTAAATACCATTGAAGAGCCTTTTCTGACCGATAGTCACTTTCGAATTCCTCAATTGCTTTCAATTGTTTAATATTATCTCGATAATAGGATTGACATTCATCAATCATTTCTTGCTTCGCTTCTTCATTATATGGTAATTGATAGAGAATATCGTAACAAAGTTGAAACCAAAGAAGATCAGTAGTGTGTTTTGATAGATCTTTTGTCATATGATCATCTTGATCAAAGAAACTAAATATTTGTGAGGGTTCATCGAGAAGATCGATTTGTTCTTGAACGGAAAAACACAATAATTCAAAATCATTATGGATGCCAACCAGTTTTGGATGTTCAAGAACCAAAGGCTCATGATCGAGTTTTTCCCAGTTGAAGATAAAGATACTATCGATTTGAGGTAGTGTTTTAATATGAGGTAATATTTGTATTGTGTCATAAATTGAAGAGATCAAGAAGATTTTTTCATCATGAGTAGATTGAATAAATGTAATGCAAGGTTGAAGTTGATTGTGTAATACAACATAATTATTAATTTGACGTAGTTGTTTTTCTATTTGTTCAGCATTATTATTAGATTGAATCTTGGAGTCGTACCAAATCAGAGTGACGTCCTCTTTATTATGAGTTCTGTTCATCATTTTAGAAAAAATTTCTACAGTAATGAAACGTATTTCAATGGATAGAACAAAAGCACTTCAGGTAATTGTTCAACTATAATGTGAAAAACTCTAAATTTTCACGAAATGAGACATTTTTAAGAGTGCAAGTTACTATATTGTCCTGTTTGAAAAAAAATTTGCAGTTGAAAAGGAATCTATCTAAGTAATAACCACAGAAATTGGATTGAAAGGAATCAAGTGTTTCAGGTTCTCTTAAATGGATTATCATCATGAAATAAGCTATAGACTAGAAAAATGTCAAAACAATCTGAAATTACTTTAAAAGCATCTAATCAAATGTCTCAAAGCGAAATTTCATTATGGTCAGATTTTGTAAGAAAATAATAGACGCAATCGAAATGTATAGGATTCACATATGATAAAAGAACTATAAATTCTTACTCATCTGAATATGACTATGGAAAATGGGAAGAAGCAAATATGGTCGTCTCTATATATGACTTTACTGACTACCTCAAAATGAGACTAGTAAAAAGAATAATATTGCTTTTGTATATTACTCGTTGATTGGCTATGCTACTCACACATCACTGAAAGGAAGTGACTAATTTTTTTCAACGTGCAATATGTTCTTTTACGTATAGAAAGAAACTATTTTTTCTTTCATCACCTTAATAAATTACGTTAAAAGGGACTCGTCACGCCATTGATTCTGTTCTCTGCATATGCAATAATCAATCCTGTCTCTCATTCTTATTCATTTTTCATCTTTATATACGTCGTGATTTTTTCCGAACCTATGAGGATAGATATTTCTGATCTCTGTAAAGTTTTTCAAAAATGAGAGGATACTTTCAATTGTACTTTAACAAAATAGAAATATTGCAGTTATTGATTGCTGAATAATCCAAAGACTCTAAAACAAAAATTATTACGTGTATCAATCATAGTGGATAGTAGTAGTAATTCGATTCTTTTCATGATATTTACATTTTGCTTGCTTCAAACAAATAAATCTAACATTGCTTGCTAGTGAAATTATTTCAAGCATAATTTCTTTGATGTTTCTACGTGGCTGAGTCATGTACCAATTTTTTAATGATACTGAAAATTTTCCTGTAACATTTTAAATTACTTATATATATATGACCAGCGATAACTACCACATATTATCATCGAAAAAATCTATGTGGACAATTTTTACAAGTGTACCATGAATGATTTTATTAAATATTGATCTTAGAATACTTTGATTTATGAAAAATACACTCGAACATCAATCCATCAGCGCTTTGAGTTATACAATATATCGGTGTCGAACTAGAAAATGATCATAAGGGTGTGAGTATGCATGTTGGTGCTGGTGAGTGAAGAGTAGAGTAAGACGTATACTCATACTCTCTTATGGTGGGAAACAGAATCAAGTATACACATTCAAGTTTGTTGTTGATCAAAATGTGTTAAAAAATACCGAGATTCATAAATGGACATGATCTACAGAAAACGCATTCATCAAGATAGCCATAAATAAATACACGATAAGATGAACTGAATTTAATATCTTCGAAGTGAAATTTCTAGATTGACTAAAGCCAAAAGAAAAACAAGCGCATATAATTGTGAATCGCTCTCTCTTGTCTATTATATACTAGATATATATGTAACTATAACGATTTTTCTATGAACATTATATGGAAATATAATGGTTTTGCGTACAAAAAAAACAACTCAAAAAGAAAGAGTTTCGACGCGTCAGAGAGTTTTTTTCGTTTTATTGCTTAAACTTTTTTTTTTCTTTCTCTTCGTGAGTTATGCATCTATCTACCTAATATTTTCGATTACCAATCATTCACTAATCAGAAGTGATGACGCTATCTCGACAGTAATTACTAACCTTCACTTTGTCACTTGCATGTGCTCATGTGTATTAAATCATGTAATGATGTTAATTTTTTTCATGTTTGTTGTTTGAAGTATTTCAGACAGAATGAATGGTATAGGTAGAAAAGCAAATAAATTCGAAGATACGATAGAACGGTATATCATCAAGAAATGTTCGGAGTCACACAAATAGGTGATGAAAAAAGTGCTCAAAATGAGTATGTAAACGATTTCAAAGATTTTCTTGCCAATTAATATCAATTTTGTCGTATAATATCAATAATTCTTCTAGAATATTATTGCATGTGAAGTTTTGATTACTTTATGTTATCTGTTTTCTGATGAGTACTTGATTTCTTCTACTTCTATTACTCTTAAGTATTCCTTTTCATCTACATTATCGATGAAGCTCATGACAAAGAGTTCAACGCAATGGACAAAACCAGTTATGAAAGATAAAATACCATTTCATAATGATTATTCATGTCCACATTTAAGAAGAAAATTATAGTTAAATTTCAATAAAAATCGATCATATACAATAACATCTATCAATGGAACGTATTCAAAAAATTTTAATTGATTTATCTGTGTGCCATTTCCGATTGATTCTTATTTAAAATTATTCATATATTATTTTATCAAGTGGCTTGACATGTCGATGAACATTGGTACAAATTTCTGACGACAATCATTAATGGTCATACGACAGATTTCGTTTTACAAAGGATAAGAAGCTGATTAAAAGAAACAACTCTTCATAATTCGAGAGTAAATGAACAATTATTTGCAAGAATATTTTGTTTGTCACTAGAAGTGTTCATTCAATGGATGTTTCTAATATATTTATAAGCGAATATTAAACTTTGCAGTTTTCTGTTCTTTTCTATAATTGATAAGTTTTCTAGTAAATATTCTACAAATATTTTGTATTGATTTGTTAACTAAAGAAATAGGTCAACAAATGCAAACATTTCAATTAGGAAGTATATTTTGTTGTGAAATATAGAATTATTGGTTGGAGACTATTGACATGGTCCAATGTTTTTCATATAGTCAATATTAGTTTCAATATTCACCAGGAAACAAGCTTAACTTCTATTACTTGAATTGCTTACATTGAATAGTTAGTCACAAAGACAAATATAACTTGCAACAAGATCAGTATATTATTGGACAAGTTGTTTGAGTCAATAAATGTTATATGTTAACGCTACATTGCGATAGATTAATTTAATAAATAGCATGTTCACAGGTAACATACTCATGCAATGACGATCTTTGGCTTGTCCATAGATCAATAACTTAATATGACAGACAGCAGAAATTGAAATTTAAACTACAGTAAGACACTTGAAAGTTCTGCTTTAACTGAAGTTTCCATTTTATTTGATAGAATTGTGGGTGTAGAGTGTGTAGAAGAAAAAGACAAAACCCACACCCACATCCTCACTATAATTCAAAAAAGCTTACATGTATCAACATAGAATATATGAAACCCTTTTTAAAAAGTTTCGAATGATCAAGATCGATAGTTTTGTATTCGAGAAATTTTCTGCACAACTTTGGAAAAACACACTCCTTTTCAGCTAGACAGATTGTATACTGAATAAATTATACTAGGTATGGGTAGGTGTCGGTGGAGTTTGAGTTTTGATGAAGAGAAGACTCACACCCCACTGTACAATGTTAAGAGATTTGAAGTGTTATTTGAATAAAAACTGAATAAATTTTAGTTGAAAAACAACATAAAAGAGTTTCATCATTAAAAATAGGTATGAAGATTGTTCAAGTGTCCATTTATAAAAATCAACAAGTTAAATTGGATTCCATTGAATTCGAATAGTATCGTGTCCATAAATTCGATATGAAGGAGTAGAAAACCAAATTTGAATTTTGACAGTTCCATTTTAAATTATTTTTATTGGTTAAGGATAATAGAATAGTCCAAGCATAAGACCTTGGCAAGTAAGTGACCATTTTTTTTAGAATCGAATCAACATATTTGTAATTTGATTTTCCTATTGATATTATACTATAATATGTCACACGGTCTAATATTTTGTCCTCGTCGAATAACTTGAGATAATCAAAGTGAAATTTCTGTATTTCTTTTTATTAAATCAATTTCTTCACATGAATAAATATTACTACTATCATCAGTTTGATATGTTTCATTCATATATCAATAATCTAAATCTTGAGAAGAATTTATTGGATATATCATATCATAGTGAAATTTAATATAAATATCAACTTTCAATGAAGTTTCATTGAGCCAATGCGATGAAAATGATCTGAATGTATTTTTTTTTCTATATTTCTAATATGTTCCATACATACAACTGATAGGTAGAGAATCAACGAATAATTACACATAAAATTAAGGTGAATCAGGTATTGCATATGGAATATGTTCAATGGAAAAACGACGTGCTTCGGTACCCCCGGAGTACATCGAGTCCAAGAGAATCTAGTAAAGTACACAGAGTACATTTAAAATGCACTGATTATTATTTGAAAAGTTTTTAATAATTATTAGCGAACCCTAGTAAACTGCCAAATTTTCAGTCATTATGGCTAACGTGAATGGATTCATTGTTTGACACATCCACAAGGTACCGTTCGAGACTGGACGCCATCAGACAGAAAATGAGCCAGTTATTAACGGGTTTTTACCCCTCAGATCATCTATATGATAGCATACTGACTACGTGATTGACTCTCACAAAACACTTTTATGGTTTATATGTGGTTAATCAGTATGTACGAAGAGCCTACTGATTAAGCGGAAGAACTCTGAGGCAGTAGGTCGGTCTTTTATCAAGAGCTACAACTAATATTAGTTGTTAGTAAAATATCTGTCTATCTTCTCTGATCTTGGGCAACACTTTATATGGTCAGGCGGCAACAGAAAGATAGAGGATTCTTCTTTAATTTTGTCAGAAGAATTATAGAATAGCTCGAAGGAATAACATGCACAGCAGAGATGTTTACAGGACAGGTCAGGAGTAAATTCTTCCGCCTTAGCAATTCCAAACAAAATATCTTTTTAAACAAGTACTTTGACTTGCTTCTGAAATGTTCAGAAATAGAAAAGTGACACAAATATTGTTGAAAGATGATATCTGGAACGATCGTATGTCTGTGAGCAACGTATCTTTCAGCACACAAAATAGAAACGAAGAAAGGAAAAACAAAATCACTAGAATAGCAATGCATTCGTATCCAAATTAGAAAACTCACACTTAAGATTTACTACGACACCTACCTCGATAGTTACATCCTCTAAAAAAGTTTCGGATCGATCGGATGTATTATGCTTGAGATATATGGAGGATTCTGCAGGTTTTTGGTTAAAAACCAGGTTGTGAGAAAACCATACTAGAAAAGAAAAGACAATGCTATACCCATACAACATTCAATTTATTTTTCTGATCTTTTTTTCACTTTGAACCTATATTTAAGGTCTCAAAAATGTCACTAATAGATGGAGAACATCTTGAAGCATATGTAAAGTAGAAAAAACGAAAATTTTGCAAATTTTGGGCGCCTAAGAAGAAGGCCTATTAAATTACATTCACAGAATAATTTTATGCTGTAAGGTAGTGATATTACACTTGTTTGGTGCGCAATCAGCTATGGTTAATTGAAGCTCAAACAACTGTTCTATGAAGAACATGAGAACTAGGTAAATACACTCAGACCTTTGTGTATTAAATATTCATTTGCATATATGTATATGATACTTCTTTGCACAACATTGAAGGGAAAAAAATATTTTTCTACAGCGCAATATGGTTAAATATTCTCAATAAGACAAATGCAAAATATTTTCTGTATATTAGTTCTAGTGACACAGTGAAAAATGTGGAGCCCTAGTTCATTTACTTGGTTTCAGTATTTGATTGCTTGCTGAAAAATCGCGCATATTAGGAACATTACGTATTCAGTTATCTGCCCAAGTTGTTTTAGAAAGCACATGGACTAGGTAGATTGTCCTTTTTTAAAAAAACTGTTCAAGCAGCAAAGCCTATTATGTATGCTTCAGAGGAAAAACTAATTGTTATTGAATCAATCGTTTTGAAAATTCACATTTACATTTTTCTTTCGTTTGCCGATTATTTAATCAGCCACACTACGTTTACTCGATTGGAAAAAAACGTAAAACCAAAAATTACTTCTCACACTTTCTCTATAAAAAACCGTGCAGTATAGAAGTAATGCCACACATGCCGAGCGCTCTTCTTATGTGACTCAATAGAGGTAAAAACAACTCGATTTTTTTTTTATGTAAAAGGATTAATCGTAAGTGTTGAAGTTGAGAGCTAAGAGATCTATGCATTTTTCTAGGAATCCAGCCATTAGAGATAATGTTCAATACTGAAAAAAGCGTACTTCTGAATATTTCTCGATATTATTTATGTTTTTGTTAAATTTTGTAGTTTTAGATAAGAATAGATCGATGGCATTTTATAATAATTGCAAAAGTATCATGGTACTAGAAAAAATTTCACAATTAACTAAATAGTAGTATAGCAATTAAACTTAATCTTATTCTTTTTGAAGATAGCTATTTAAGAGAATTATTGATTCAGTCATCTTGATAGACAATTGAAGAGTCAAGAGAATCAACTATTTTGAAGCCACGCAACACTAATAAAATGCTTGTTACGTGCATCGAAAATCAATCTTTGATTGTTATTTAGAACCAATATATTAGTGGAATGTTCATTGTCATGTTACGAAGCGCTAACACTGAAGATCTTTTTCCTCGCACATTGTAGAGACATGAAAAACATTTCCGAATATGATACTGGCATAGATAGGACATTTTTTCTACGTCAGCAAATAAACAATAGTTTTGTTCGAGTTCAATAAGTTTTATTTTCAACCCAAATAATCAATCAACTGAAAATTTGTTCATTAAGAGTATTAAAGTAAAGATGGTGAGCCTTTGAACTCGAAGTTTTGAGATTTCTTTTGTATGATACGTTACTAAATAGTTGTGTGATTTAGCTTATTTTCTAGAGAAATAAATAAAACTCCATGTTTTCAAAATTCTCTCGTTTTGTTTGGTTTTCGTCATTTGAGAGAGAAGTATCTGAGTCATCGATTTATATAAGAATCTTTAGGCTTGACGAGTTTTTGTATGATCTTTGTTAGGCTAATATATTTTTTTTAATCTTTTTTCATGATTTTACACAAGATCTTCTACTCAAATCGTGTCAGAATGTGTTCCAATGCACATGTATTTGTGATAAAATTAGGCAGTTATATTTAAAATAACATAGAAAAAGAGATTAAAAAAAAAGAATTTAAAAATCTGATAAATATACGGCGAATACAAGGTGAATCTCACTACATTTCAGTATAGCTTGGGTGGAATTTTTTGAGAAGACCTATGAAAACCAACAATGAAAAAATATTTGTCAAGGATGTAAGTGTGAGTAGGTGAAGGAAAAATCTACAAGCACAGGTAGCTCACAGAAACATCCAGACCCACATCAAAATCACTCATCATAAGGCAGATTATGGCCCAATCGTATACCTGACATTCTAGATCTGAAACAAGAAAATTGTGTACGATGGCATGGAATTGCTGCGACCCAAGATCAACATCAAAGAAGATGGAATCTTGGCAATATACGACAGTAAATAGTATGAAGGTTCTCAACAATGCAAATGATATTGAACGTTTTATAATCGGTCAATGTAGTATATGGAACATCGACCAATGGACACTTGGGGACAAGTTTATTCAAGGCTTACGACAATCAATTCATCGTTTGCATAATGACTTTGTTGATGGTTTCGAATATATGGATGAAATGGGTGATCTCTGCTTCTTGCTTCTTATGATAAAACAACATTCTGATATTCAACAAAAACAGGTCGCCTTCTCTCATCATAAATTATCGCCAACTACCATTGGATCAGGTGGCCATGATAATGTCATAATTGAAGAAGGCACGGCTTTCGCATGGTTGAAACAACGTGCATATGATGAATTACGTTTATCCAATGAGCAACGAGGGCAGTTGACGTCACGTTTCTTGGATGGTTCAGGACTTCACATAGCAAAAGCTGTAACATTTTCACGTGACTATACCAAAACTTTACAAGATGGAGAGGCCACCAATATTATAAGACAAAGTAAATGGAACTCGTGGAATAATGGATGGCGATACCATTCAGTGAACAGAGCCGAAAATGGATTTTTAATTAAGATACCTGAAATATTACAGTACAGCAGAACGTGTGGTTACGGTGAATGGTTTCTAGAACATTTATCAAATAAAATTAAATGTTTGAAAAATCCTACACAATTTACGTATTTGATAAACTTCGGAGAAGTACCTTGCACGTTTACTATTGTTGTGGTAGAGAAGACTCGATACAGAGTTGACATGGCTATCAAAATTCAATTCCGTGGTGTATACTAAGTATGAATAGCAGCAACATGATGTCTTTTGCATTGAACTCACCCATGGGTTTTTCTCTTTTCGTCTTAAGTAAGAATAAAGGAATAAAAACAATATGCTTTGTTTCTCTTGATCCATTTGTAGCTAGTAATGTACGGAAAAAATTCTGTGCACTTTTGACATTCATTGTCATTGTCATTATTATTATTATTTTGCTAATTTTCAGATGGTAAATGAAATTCGTGTTAAACGTGCATATATCGATGCGTATGAACAACACTCATGTCAAAACTCTTTGTCAAAAAATCATATTAGTCTCAATAGTTTAAAAATGTTGAATAGCATACGAGATGGCAAACAATATCTGCAAGGTCTTGGAAGAGCCCTAAACTTAACTAGTGCTGATGGATGGGATATGTTTCAACAAACATTATGTTTCAATATTGAATTTAGTGGTATCAGTGCAACAGAATTTAAACAATTGGAATTCAAAGTCGGTGGCAAAAATGGTACAGCAACCTATCTACTCGTGGCAACAAATGTTGATTATAGTTATAAAGTGACAGTATGTTATGCATATCATCATATTGATCAACATATTCTGGACCATGAAGGATTTACTATGCAAACAGCTGATATGACACTTGATTGGATGAGAGCAAAATCGTGCCAAAGTTTAGCAACTATGTTACCACCGAGCTTAGCACCACAACTAATTTATGAATAGTTACATCGGCTGTATATGGTAGAGTTTCATTTGAATCAAGTTTTTTTTTTGTGATAGTACCATTGAATGTAATAAATGAAATTTCTTGTCCTCTAGAGCTATAAATGATTGTCTAATGAACTCGTTGATTCATTTCATCAATTGTAATTATTCTTTGACCATTATTAGAAAAAAAAAGTGATTGATTATATTCTACAAATAATAGAATTGCATCAAGAACATCAATAAAAGTTTATGAGAATATATAACCTTGATTCGTTCATACGTTTTTATTCCGACAAAAAAAATTAAATCGCTATGCAAGGATGAATTGACAGAGAAAATTACAGTATCATATTGAAATATATTTTGATTGATAATATTGCTCGATAAACTTTTTTCATACATAGTTTCATAGCCTTTGTGGCAGCCTTATATTACAGATAATATTGCTATCGCCTTTTTCTCTCTTGTCAACGAAAATAATATTTTCTTGGTTGAATAATCAAAGAAAATCATAAAGATACAACTGATAATGAGTTTCATCGAAAAAAAAAGTTTCATGAACAGGAGTTTTATTATACTTATTAATTATCAAGAAACAAACTTGAAAACATTTTAAAATATAGAATTTTTACAAGAAATTTTCAACAGTATAGTAAATACTATTACCAAATGATAAAACTTGAAATGAATCGTACATTATGCTAAAACATCAATATATTAGTATCCAAAATAAATAAAACTGTTTCAAATAGTGTACTCAATCGGCATTGTCCTAGCTTTGATAGATTCATGTAAGATTTGGATTGATTCGTTGTCTCAATTGAATTTATGCCTACTATGACTTACGATTCAATTTTAAAAACTTTGAAATTATATTAGTTCTGTTTCCATATGCATTCCGATCGTGTGAAAGTCTGAAACGAATCTACAGCTTACTATCTCGACACTTCTTTGATCAATCACATCAGATACCATATTTAAGTAAGATTCTGTGAATTTGTTTTTAATTGTAAACAATTCTAATTTGAATGATGAACATGATTTTATGATTTAGATAGATTCAATAAAAATAATTTATAAATTAATAGATGATTGTTTATTGATTTCAATCTGATGATGATGAGTTTTCTTTGATTGATTCATTAACTATTTCAAATATATTGCTGCGAATGTTTTTTTTATTACTTTATTCAAAACTATTTCGTGTCAAGAATATTGAAATAAGTTTCATATAAAAAACTAAATGATTCGAATTGTTTCTAAATAAAATATGTCAATATTCGTTCTTCATTAAAGTCACTTAGATAATCAATTTGTTTTCGATCAGTTTTTTTTCTATTCAAAAAAAGCCCTAATTTGTTAATACATCTGCAATTATCTTTACTCATTTATCATCAGTAATCTATCTAAGATATTAATAAATACATTTCTGGCTGCCAGAAAACTTCTTTACAGTTAATTGTATGGTAAAAGCATTATACAAAGATTATTCAATGAATAAAGCACTAACAATAATCTTAATATGTAGTCACAAAAATGGAGTGTGGTGTCGGTGTTATTGTTTCTTTCACCCAACCACAACCTGAAAACGCTTTAAAAGGAACTTTTCCATCTCGGACTGTATGTGAAAAACATTTTGAGAAAACTCTTTGGACTTTATACTAATACAAGAGTTGTCTTTTAAAGTACCTTCACATGCTTTTTACAATAAAAATAGCTGGTTTTAGCCTTTTCTAAAAGATCGTGAAAACACTCATTATATGGAGAGAATAGCGAGTTAGATTTTTCTTTTGGATTGAAAACTTATCTAAATAAGCAGTTTATGTTGTAAAAGGAAAGAAAAATATTGATGACAGACGACAACAGTAATCATCAATCACATTTTACCAACTGCTACTTCATGCAACTAAGACATTATTCTAGGCATTAAAATCGAGTTTCATATCTCAACATTGTAAAGAGCGAGCTCTGAGGCATCTATCTGTATAACACTAATTTGAATCAAAACGTTTTCTCTGACTGCTTGTGCAACGAAATGTTTTTCGCTTCCTATTCTTATGAGAAACTAATATCAATCTACATTAAAGTCTAGTTCGAACTGCTCTGTGTACATAATAAAACTTTCACATTTTCATAATATCTACTCAATCGCTTTCTTCAACGGGATCAAAATGCAGTGTAATCATTTTAGTGCATATACAAGATAACTCAGGCTACAATGTGATGTAGTTTTACGTTAATCTATGGTGAAAATAGGAAACGAAAAACATTTGCATGGTTAAAATCCATAGCTCGATACTATTAGCTGATGATAAGTTATTCATAAAGTGCTCATGTCCATTCAACTCTGATATGGACATTAATAGATGAAAGGGTATAGCTGTGAGTATGATTCAAATAAATCAACACTCATAATCACAAAACACACATCCTTTTCTTCGAATAATTCCATAGAGTGAAAAAGGAATATGATTGAAAGCTAAATCCATGTTTTCAATTTCTGCTTATCAAGGCAAAAATGGATCATCGATTTCTCTCTTGCTTAAATTCAATTTGAGTCGTGTTTGAATGATCTGAATTAATGGATTCTATTCTTAGCAAATCATTGCGCTTTGAGTTTGTGCAAATTGAAACGATATTCCCTGAAATTGAACAATTTCTCGATTTTGTGAATATTGTGAAGCTCACGATACAATGGATAAAAGAATGCGTTGTTTTATGGTTACTATAGGTATGCTGTTTTACATTAACAGAGAAAGAAATATTTTTTGGAAGAAAAAACAAATCTCAAAACGATGACGTCCATGAATTTGTGTTTAACAAATATAAAATCGTTCTTCTGTCGTTTTTCCAGTGTAAAACGTGCACATTTCAACACATTTTAACGGACCAAGGTGTGTGTTTTTTTACGCTTTGAAGAAAGAATATCGTGTGTGAAATGAAAGCGCGTCTCAAGATGATGATGTGTACAAACTTACTTTTTTTTTTTAAAAAGAAATCATTTTTTCTTGCTTTTTCATTGCAAAAAGTGTACATTTTAACGCGTTTTATCAAGATAAAATGAGTTCTTGTTTGATTCGGTAAATATTATATTTGATAAATACCTGATTTGTGAGTGTGGATGTGTAGATGTAGTATCGAATGCGTGAAAAGCAAAACAATCACATTCACACTCCAGATCAGATGAAGGAATATTTTAAGAAAAACGGAGTAATTTAAGGAAATTTTCCATTGTTTTCTGTTGAACTCATTAATATTGATGGGCTTCCCTTTATTCTTATCCCCATAGATCTGGTCGTGTACATAAAACTCTGTATCATAAGTTTTGAAGCGAAATTGTTATCAATAGACAGTGCAATTTTGTTCTTTCAGAACACAGTTGACGAATTAACATATTAACGACGATCATCTTCCATCACACAGACAGAGAATATGGCAAGTGGAAAAGTTGCAAAAGAAATTCGTGAGCCACAACCGAATCTTACCAAGCCAGACGCATTGTTAACTAGAGTAATTCCTTATTTTATTGATTATTGTAATATCGATCAATTCAAAGAAACAGCTGGTATGAAGTTGGAAGGCGTTACCATCTTTGGATACGATCAAAGGGGTAAATTTACTAAAAGCACCTGGTTAAATGCTGAAGACAGAAACACAAGCGAAGACAAGTTTCTTGGAGCTTTAGAGAAATTGGACAAGCAGAAAGTCACGGATAATAAATCAATAAGACTTGATATGCAAAAATCATCGGCTGATAACAAAGTCAATCTTCAAATACAATACGATGGAGTATCTTATGCTCTTGTTACTGTGCCAACTAACTATAGATTTGGTAAGACAAAACTGAAAGAGCTATTAAAAGAAAGTTTTAAAGAGCACGTAAAAATTGAAATCGTAATCGATTAGAAGAGTTTTCGTCAAAATAACGATAATTCAAGAAAGCAGCAAGTATTTTTATGTAACATTTAAAAAAAGATATATTCGTTTAAAAACTACAAACTTGATGAAGTTTTAACGCTCTTGTTTTCGTAATTAATTGTAAGAATTTTTTCTTTTCGTTCATAGAATTCAGAAGATGAATTCTATACTGTATTGTATTCGATTTTAAATAAAATATATACAACACAATGATACGATGCCTTATCTCTTTTGGATCTTTTAGAGCTTTACCATGGCTGAGTTTCCATGATTTTTGAAACGACCATGATCTCTTTCAACCTGGAGAGTATGGCTTCTTTTTCAGGTTCAAAAGTTCAATACAAAAATTTATAGTTAGTCAACAAATGATGCATACCTACATTATTCAACTTCATCGTATCAGCTTGTCAATGACGATCTATGTATAGTTAAAAACATGTTTCAAAGTGAACTTCTTATATAAAAAATCGTTTTTTTTTTATTTGCATGAAAAAAGAAACGTATTTTTCATTATATTATTTATATGTTTTATTAAACGAAATATTCATATATGAGAGATCAAAGAGTGTGCAGCAAGGTAATAGCACATGCACATGTAGAAAGTTCATACGTCACAAATGTATAATCTCGATGTTTTCCTATACTAGAGTAAAGTATCTTTGAATAAGTTTATAGCATTTCATCCGTCTTTTTCATATATGAGATCTGAAATCAATTGAAGTAAAATCGTTTTGGAATTTACAAGTAAATAGTCAATATACATGTACATATATATTTGATAATGTATTATTTATTTTAATTTTAATTTTAATTTCATTTTATTTATTGCAATTAATATTTTTGATATACATGTAATAACTGAAAAACTTCGTTGATAACAAGATTTAAAGCTTTCTTGTGTATTATAAACTTTTTCTAATAAGTGTTGTTTATAGACAAATTGAATCAGCTGCTAATTGTTAATTCCGTTTATTAATATCTTTTTCAGATATCAAGTGAAGAGTTTAACATTCCCATGTGTATTTAAAAAAAAGACAATCATCGAAAGAATAGTAGAGTATCTTGTTGGCTTTTAGGTAGGTACTCACGATTACTTT